GTTTTTTATAATTATTATAACAGACATTTTGTAGATTTAATAACAAAATTTTAAGTCAATAATTCAACCATGATTCTTGTAATTTTCGAAAAGGACCTTTGGTACAATACAACTGTTAGTACTACTACAACACTTTCTAAAGTATTTCTTAACGTTAACCAACTTTACTGTATCCCCTAGTTTCGGTTTGAAAACCAGTGATGGTATCTTTTTTAGGATATATGTATAAGGAATCCAAATAACAATAATAACAGATTTCTCGTTATATATTAAAAACACTCTGGACAGTTGTTAAGAACAGAAACCTAAGTTGCAGACGCTGAAGTCAGTTAAACTTGTTGATCCGTATTGTTGTGCTGTATGACGATAAAAAAGACATTGGGAAATGCTGTGATTCGCTGCCTAAAATCACGCATACTTTTTTTAACAAAATAATTTGTTAAACATTAAAAAAATTATCTGTATTATCTGTAAAATTAACAAAATGTTTACATAATTGCCTTTACAAAACTTTCGGTAAAATATTTTCCTTTGTTAAAATAATTACAAACCCTGGTATTATACAACAAATTATGTTAAAATTTAACCAAATAAAATTAACAAACTACAAACTCATGCTAACAAATATGATTTTTAGAACAGTGTATTAGGTGTAAGGAATCCAAATAACAATAATAGCAGATTTTTGGTAATATATTATAAACACGGGGCAGGAAGACGAAAGTTGTTAGCCATTTGGATTTCCAATAAAGTTTATTATTATTATTATTATAAACACACCAGTTGTTACGAACACGTTACGAATCAGAACAATTAGTTGCAGACGCTGAAGTCAGTTGAACTTGTAGATGAGTATGTTTGTGCTTCAGCAGGATGGTTGACGATAAGAATAATCAGTTGTAAAGGTTTTGATTGGCTTCCTAAATTCACGTGTACTTTTTTAACAAAATAATTTGTTAAACATTAACAAAATAATCTCAGTACGACGTCCACAAAATTTAACCATAGCGGCTATAAACAGTGCATTTTAAATCCAAAATACCTAAAAGGTAATTAATCTATAAAGTTCCGGTCAACAGAGTACAGTTCCGCGACCTCAAAGTGCATAAACACCCCACGGACCAGAACGAGAGTGCAAAGTGAATACTGTCACCCCTGCCAGGAATTGGTGGTTCAGTTTGGCGGTAATCTAAAAGAGATCAAGCTCGAGAAAACAAGGCAAAATTCGGATAAGTATTTTAATAATATTTGCATGACTCCGAAATTCACCTAGCCTGCCATCCGGAGGAACAACGAAAATTCAATAAAATTATAAAAAACACTTAAAGAGAATAACAGAGAAGAATGAATCATTATTTTAATAGCCCAAAGAATAATGCTTATTGCCTATTCAGTAAAGCAAGTTGAATCGAAAATAGAATAAAAATACAAACTCATAAATCTTAAGTAGTCCCAAACTTTGCCTAACATAAACATAAACATAATAAACCTCTTGTCACTTTTAACTGGCACCTAAAAAATAGTCTTAGATTTAAAAAAAAACAATGTCAAGAGCAAACATGGATTAAAATTTAAACGCAGCTTAATTTAATTGCTAGAAAAGAACAACAGAAAACGTAATACAGTATACACAAAACGTAGACAACGGAACGCTCGGGCCACACTTAACCAGAACTATTAGAATTCGCATTACTTCGGTAATAAACATTAAAATAAAAAAAAACAAACGAAAATTTAAAAACCATCGATAACGATTGGTAGTTGCATTACCGACCATCGAAATCTATCTATCGATCAGTGGCGGCCCGTCAGGGGAGGCAGGTGAGGCAGTGCCTCATCATAGAGAATTAAAAAATTAAGTATAATTTAAATATTTTACTTTCTATAATATACTATAAATTTTTAATATTTGGATTACATGAATTGTGAAATAGTCAATAAAATTGATTGATTTTATACGTGGAATACCCAGCAACATTTAAATTATTTGAATTTGAAACGACCGCAATTTAAACTAATATTTATAGCTATATCATTGGCTCATAAGTATGCCTGAACTAATTTAGACTCACGATTGGCGTTAGCCTTGTTATCTCGTTCTGTTACAATGCGATATCATAGTTGTCTCCTTCTCTCGTATTAGCATACGCGAGGCAGGCACGCCTACATCCAAGGAAATAAGCAGGTGTTGTGGCAACACTGTTGCAAAATTTTAGATAAAATATACTTCACACGTTTTTCAAAATTCAATAGTAAATGGTATTATTTTTCATATAATAAATCGATTTAATCGAAATTATATTTCTATTCTAAAATAAACATATTTTAACACTATCGCCATCTTGTAGCCATCACACTAACCAATAAAATAAATACAGATTCCTTCTTTAGGTTTGTTTTGGTTATAAAATTCTGAACTGTTTAAAGAACAAATCTGTGGTTATTTACGCAATATTTTGTTTATTCTTTTTCTATGAGTTTGTCTATTTTATGATTCTTTTGTAAGTGGTTTATTCTGTGGGTTTAGTTAATTGAACTTGGTGATTTATGTGAATTTAGTCATTATGGATATTACAGTGAGAAATTATACCGATATTGTTGACCTTCACGTGGTTCTTGCTGAACAATGAAATATTAATTAGACAAAAATGAGGTTTATTTAAAATAAACGTCATTTTAACAATAAAATATATTTCATTGACAAAGTAGAGTATTCCTTCCCCACCACAGTCTAAGTTTTTTACTTAGTTTTAAGTATATGTTGTGAACTGCAACGTCAGTTTTTTTAAGTTGGGTTTAAAAAAATTTCTTCGCCTTTAAATGAGGGCGAAACCCTGCCTCTGCCTCACCAAAATGAAATGTCACGGGCCGCCACTGCTATCGATAGTGCTCCCTGGTTTAGGGTGATTCCGGATTGTACTTAATTTTGGGTCAGTCTAATATCCCCCAAAAACCAAAATATTTTCCCGACAAAATTCCGGGAAGGGCCTTAACCATCGAAACTGTCATCCACGACCTCCGAAGAGAGATTACCAGCCGGGGTGACAATTCGTATCCACCACAGGTAATAATAATCTGTTTTTAACATTTTTACAAACTGATGTTAACAAATCTAATTTTTTTAACTGTGTGAGTCTTAATATCTTTATGTTTTTTTGTCGTAAAATGTAACTTTCAAAGCTAAAGCATTGAGCCAGTCTTTTAATATGGAGGTTTAAAGTTTGTTCGTGTGTTATTGTTATAAGTTTTAAGCTGCTGCAATTATCTTTATTATTAGTGTATTTAACTTGTTGATAAACTCAAAAGGGTATTAATTAGTTTGTAGTCTCAACTATAACTATATATATTTAATATATTTGTTTAATATTTATGTCTAAACTGTCTTAAACGCTTGCTTAAACCATCATAGTACAAATATATGAACCGGTTAATAGTGAGTGCGCCTTCCTTATACCCGACATCAACGCTTTCTAGAATTGTCTTCCTTGCTCCCGTACGCGCTCCGTGTTTTCTGTCGCCTTCTTTATCTATGGCCTTTGCAAAACTTCTGGCTGTAACAGTAATCCACTTACTTTCAATTCAAAATAATAATGAATGTGCGGAATATTGATCACTACTGTAACAGTTCCTAACACTACTCATTGATGTCACTAAACTAACCATTGCTGTTGTCAAAGTAACCCGTGATGGTTTATTAGAAATTGTATGATTTTAAATGATACATTGAGTCACTGAGTCAGTCACACTGATACTGACATTTACATTGTATATTAAGTTGGTTCTGCGTATTAATGGTTAGTGTTCTGTGATCAACTACTACTACTACAACTACCACAACAATGGTAGTCTACCAATATTTTATTTTCTCCGCGTGGGAGATATTCTTCAAACTTTTATACTATTTATTTACTAAAAGAAAAAAACTGATTAAGAAATTGACGTGGAATCATTTTTCACCTGGTCAGTGGTCGCGAGACCCTTTGTGGTACGGGCCCATAGGCTGCATTCTAGGTAGCCTATGCTTAAATTCGGCCCTGGTTAAACTTCCAGTTTTGTTTATTGGTTTAAAATTGATATACATATACAAGGTGTATCAAATGGAATTTATGTAGAAAATGTTTTTAATGCTAACAATATCATTATATTTGACAACAAATATTTAATTTTTTATAAAACTAAAATGTAAATTGTTGGTCCTAAAAAAATTCTACAAAATCATTTGAATCCAACTCTAAATAATAAAAAAAACAACTTTACCAAATCATCACTTGTAAAAATGGCGAATGCGCCGGGATTAACTCGGTTGTTTGAAATGCATTCATTATATTATATTATATTTTCACAGACTATTATGTATAAACATAAATTTCAATTACAAATGTACGTAAGTACGCGTACCTAAATACCTACCTACCAACATACCTGATATGGGTTGTTTATCGGTCCTCGTTCATTATTTACGAGCGTTGAACAAACAGCCCACGCACCTAATCTCTGCCCCAAATTATTAATCATTTTACTGATTATGATCAATCTCGCAAAGAATGCTGTTGCTGTTTATTTCCCTTTATAAAATTGTCGAACGCTAGCAATTATTCATCTTTTATGTCCTCTAATAACTTTGTACCGTTATTAAACTGTTTTGATTTATTATTTAATTTACAAAATATAACGTGCTACGTGTAACAAATTATTCGAAAACAGTTTAGAAAAAGATTAAATATGAAAAAAAGATTTCTATGAACAAAAAATCGTCCGGTCTAATGCTTATTAATAAATGCACGAGGCAACAAGCTGGCATATATTTGTCTATTATTATTATTCGAATTTTTTTCTTTTGTTCATTTTACCTTACTCGTATACAAAATTTTAATTTTGCAAAATTGTGTATTGATTTTATGCAAAAAAAATTGTTTTCTTTAAATATCTAATAAATACATTTTATAAAGCTACAAATAAAACAAATAATTGTTTATTTATTTTTTATTATTCACATAAATTCAGTACAATTTACCACTGTAGTAATGAGGCCACTTCTTAATCTCCTCGAGGGCATATTTTCCAGGACTTGATTGGGGTGCGGTTTGACTGTGTGCTACTAACTTATAATCCTGTGATATTTTACGGTCAACAATTCCATCAGAAATAAGTTTTTGTGCAGATTTCACCATTCCAGAAGTAAGGTGCATATGATCAAAATCACCCACAAAAGCTATATCGATACTGTCATGTCTTTGAGCATTTTGAATTTCCCACCCTCTACCCACGTAAATATTTTCGTCCCCGCAAACTAAAAAATTGTATGATATATCCGTCATATGTTTGTCGTTTTGATGGTAGGATTGTATATCTTTTATTAGTAGGCGACAATTTAGATATTCTGAAGAAAATCTTCCTGCAGTATGTTTTATTACTACCAAAGGTACTGGATGAGCTAAAGCATTCACTCCATTTATAGGATACCAAGCCCCCCAGACATCCCTTTGTATGTATTCCCCCTTAGGTTCATTTTTTGAGGTGGTATTTGATAAAGGCGAAACTGTTGGGTTTGTTGAGTTATTTTCTTCAGGAGGCTTGGAATTGGTATAAAATGTAAGTCCGACGCCCAAAGATATTATAAATGCAAATATAAATATGTAAGCTATTTTGCAATTTTTGCCTGCTATTGATTTCCTAAGATTTTTTTTGGAAATATTGAAGCCTAAAAAATTATATTTATTAATAAAATAATAAAATATGTTAGCATAACGAGAAATATTTATTACAAAAATGTTATTGAAAATAAATGGTTAGAAAAAAATGCAATGTTAATAATAAATAAAAAATATTGACTTGAAACTTGAAATAGTTTGTCTTTCTCTGTCTGAGTACGCCATTTTTACTTATTTAACAAGACATATTGGCATAATGTCACTATAGTAATTTATTTTCAATAAAAATTTTGGTATACTGAGGCTTCTTGATTTCTAACAATTTAAAAAAAACATTTAATGATAACATTTCGAATACGAATATTTCAGAAACGGTTGAATTTAGGTATATGGTTTGTTATATGAATTATGCTCAGAATTTTACAAGGAATCGAAAAACAAATACATATAAAGGGTGATCCATATAAAAAATATAAACTTTTTGTTTTTCCCTGTATACTGATCAACTTTCAAATTTTCTTTATACGTAGAAAAAAAGTATTTTTTAGTACCTACATAACCACACTTTTAAATTTTTTGGGATACTTAAAATAAAAAAGTTAAAGGGGAGCGACAGTATAGGGGATCACCCTGTACAAATACATGCACCAAAACCCATTTATAAACCATATCGTATATTTTTGTCTTAATTATATCGAGTTCCATACCAAATAATGTTGTTTTTTATACATATCTACAGGGTTTCTTTTTAAAAACAAACAAAGCTCTATAAGTTTTTAGGTTCAGACCACAAAAATGACCTCATTGGAAAGCTCTTGTAAATTTCTATTTAATTGTACTAAAAAAATACTTTTTAATAGTTTAATTTTTTTTTAAATAAGCAAAATATTCTAATTTCTCGTTATAAATATCAAATTAAACCATTTTCTTGTCGTTAAACATTAGTAAAAAAGTTGGAGAACACAAAATAATTCTAACAAAAGTATAGTAAACTAAAAAAGCATAAAATTATTTAATATACAAAATTTAATAATCAAAACATTTTTATTTTTAGATATTTAATTTAAAACAGAAAACAGCTCCCATGGGTATATGTTTAAATAGTCTTTTATTATTTTAAAGTTTTTGTCGCGAAATATGTAAATATGTTAATATGCAATTAAAAAAGAAACCAACCTAGGATACTCAATGAATATTCAGGTTTTTGGTCAGTTTGGTGTAAATCCCACAATATTACTCCGATCGACATCTAGACTTACAGGGCTTTGCCCTGAGTCTGTTAGAAAAGTGTTGAATCATCTCAAATTCCACCCATTCAAAATGCATATTACACAAGAACTTGGCGATGATGATGCGATTAGAATTTTGTGAAATGACCAATAAAATAATAAATTAGATTAAAATTCTAAGAAACATTCGTTTCAGCGATTAATGTTCTTTTTATCTAAATTGAAATGTTAACAAACAAAATTGTCGTTATTGGAGCATTGAACATTGTCATCTCATCAGGCAAAATCATACCAAGTATCCTGAAAAACTTAATGTCTTGGTAGGAATTTTGGAGATTGTATTATTGGTCCTTTATTTATTGACCAAAATTTTCAAATTTATTTTAAAATACGAGATTAAATAATATAGCCACTCATAATAAATTAAGTAGAAAATCAAAGAGGAGACGATGAGGAACTAGCTTTGGATAAAAAATTATTACATTTTCAATAAGATGGGACACCACCTTATTATGTAGTAGCTGTAAGGGCTTGGCTGGATCAGAATTATCCAGAACAATGGGTTGTTAGAAGAGGACCAATAGAAGGGGCCTCCAGATCACCAGATCTGACACCATTAGACTTTTTTTAAAATCTGTGGACTACAAAACTTAACCTTATTATCTGCGACAACGAATAGTTCAAGAAACATTTCAAAATGTTTGAAGGGAATTTAAGAATAGGCTACTATTGCTTACAAAATAATGGGAGTGATTTTGGGCACTTCATTTAGTTTTTTACCAATGTTTTCACGACAACAACATGGTTTAATTTTATATTTTATAACAAGAAATTGGAATAAATAATTATAAAATTTATTTTGCGTATTTTTCAAAAATTAAACTATTAAAAAGTATTTTGTTTAGTACTGTTAAATACCAATTTTGAAGAGCTTTCCAATGAGGTATCACAAAGAGAGTGTTTCCATTAAAAAAAAATTGGGGTAGCTACAGCTCCAGGGGTTGCTTAGTGAAGGTCATTTTTGTGTTCATACTGATTCCCACACATATTCTAAGACTGGTTTGAGAAATTTTTTATTATAATTAAACACACTTATTGTAGATTTAATAACAAAATTCTATGTCAATAATTCAACCAAAATTCTTGTAATTTTCAAAAAGGACCTTATATTTACAAACCTTTTTGTAGACTCAGTAACAAGAGTATTTGTTGAAATTGGGAACTTAAATGAAAAGAATTTTAATAAGAAATATTGCTTTATTAATCAATTTCCCAAACAAAAAAATTAACACATACCTACCTGCATAAATTAATACAAAATAACATACACATAATTAAATAACACACCATTCTAAAATCATCAAATTATAAAGAACCATTGTACCAAATGTATATAACTATGTAACTATCAGTACTACCACAACACTTACTAATGTATTTCGTAACTTTAACCCACTTTACTGTATCCCCTAATTTCAAGTGGAAACCCGGTGATGGAATCTTTTTTAGGATACTTCGCACTTCGCACACTCGTTAAATAGGTATAAGGAATATGAACACCAACAGATTTCTGGTAATATATTATAATATTATATACCTACATAAACACTCTGGACAGTTGTTACGAACACGTTACGAATTAGAATAAAGTAAGCAAAAACATAAAGAAGGGTCTACAATTGTCGCAGGTCGCAGATCGCAGATCATAAGCCTGCGCCTGCGCAAAGCACCCAGCGACGCACTATGGTCAAAAAGCAGCGTTAGAAACGCTGCGTTTCTATAACTTTTTTATTACAAATAAATATTAATTTTTTCTTTTTTTATTGTGTTAAATAGGAGTTATTACGTATAATTAACTATATTTTAATCAAACATTTTAAAGGTTTTTATTTTTTAAATGCGTTTTTAGATTATAATAAAGCACTGTTTTGCAGAAATAATTTACTAACTTTTTTATTAAAAATAAATATCAATTTTTTTTCTGTATTATATAAGGATTATTACGTACAAACTAAATTTTAATCCAAAAACATAAAGGTTTTTAATTTTTAAATGCGTTTTTAGATGTTCATAGAGCGTCAATGGCAGATATAACCCAATAATTTTTTTATTGCAAAAAATATAATTTTTTTTATTTTTTACTTTGTTAAATAAGACTTATTACGTATAACTAACAATATTTTAATAGAAAAACATAACTTAATTTTTTAAATGCGTTTTAAATGGTCCTAGAGCATCAATTGAGAAAATATTCAAAAAAAATTTTATTTCAAAGAAATATTTATTTGTTTATTTTTATTGTGTTAAATAAGATATATTAAGATCTGATAATAGGTATATTTAACTATATTTTAATAAAAAACGGTCTTTATTTTTAAATGCCTTTTTTACATGTTCGCGGTGAAACGATTGCGAAAATAATTCAATAACTTTTTTATTGTAAATTAATACATATTTTTTTAATTATCTTAACTATGTACACTTTTACAATTTTTGTATTTTTAATAATAATAGTTATTTATTGATTATCATAATTATAAAAATAACAACAATCAAAAGGCCATTGACCTAGGTCCTTCAGCCAAGGTTAATTAAAATATAAATGTAATGTATTTGCACGTGTTAGAAACCAAAATTGATATTAGATATAGTGCAAAAAACAAAAAAAAAACATAGTATTGTGTATGTAAAGAATAAATTAGATATATATATGTATATGTGTTCATTCGTCAGCTAGAGCTTGCATTTCTTCAACTAGGGATCTTGTAGGATGTTTAATTCGGGTGGGAGCTCTCTCTAAAAAAATTTAATACATGTTGAAATATTTATAATAATTATTAAATTCAACTAAAACTTATGAGCATATGTAGATCTTGAGTGCGTAGACAATGCCTTAGTTAGGTACGAGCGCTCGCGATTTAGCCATGCAGTGCGATAAATAAAAATTTATAAATTTTTTATATGTGCGTATACGCAGCTTTTTTGTGTACTTATAAAGTTTATTGAACAATCTCATGTAGATATCAACGTGGAAATCAGAGCCTATATGAATTTTTTTTCTCTCAATTTTACCAATGTGTCTTTAAAACATTATAACTTTTAATTTTTATTTTTTTATTCAAATACGAATTTTTATATACGTAGATTAAAAAAATATACATATTCTTGTTCGATTAAAAGATATATTTTATTAAATGTTTGAGTAATTTTTAGCCAATTTTTACTGTTTTAAAAACATTCTACTTTGAGGTGTGATAAAATCAAAACATAATTCTTTAAAAATATTTCTTTACCAAAATCTACTGCTTTAAGATGTTTTTAACAAATTATCGTCAAAAAAATACCCATAATAAAAAGTTTTTAAAAATGTATTTTTTTCGCCGATAAACCATAGTGCGTCGCTGGGTGCTTTGCGCAGGCTTATCTTCTGCGATCTGATGGCTTTAAAGCCGGGTCTACAATTGTCGCAGGGGTCCGATCGCAAAACATAAGCTTGCGCAAAGCACCCCTCGACGTGGCGATGGAGCAAGGTTCTGCGACTTGCGACAAGTGTAGACCCGGCTTTAAGTTGCACACTCTGAAGTCAGTTGAATTTGTTGATGCGTATTGTCAGTGGGAAATGTTTTGATTGGCTGCCTAAAATCACGTGTACGAATATTTGTTAAACATTAACAAAATAATGTGTAACCTTTGAAAATTAACAAATTTCTTACAATGCCGAAAAATGTTAAAAATATCGAGAGAAAAAACTTGGAACGATTTTTTGTGTTGATGGGTGTTATTCGAGAGGAAATCCTGGGTTTTTACCTGTTTCGCAATGG